ACTTAACTGTAAGTGACATTTCAGAGTGGCTGAGTGCACATAATATGGGTGCAATTAGCTTGATCATATTCTGGGGTATATTCGCCCCTCAAGTTCAAGACAACACAGTCAAACACACAACAAACTGCAATAAAGCACGGATGCCATCTCAAACCCCTGCTTGTTATATGAAAAGTGTTGTGGGTCTTTAAAGTCTGTATTTGAGTGTCCCTTTTGCTAATGTATTCATGTGCACATTCAAATAGAGATTTGGGCATGAAAACTGGTCTTTGTAGTATTTAAATTCCCAAGAACCACCAGCAAGCTCAATTTCTCTCTTTACCCTTTGGCAATGGGTGAGCTGACTTTCATGTCACCACTTTCAAGAGTCCTTACCAAGTAAAATGCTTTCCAAGTCTGAAATCAATGGAGTTACAACAGGACTGAATTTGGCCATGGTCTTGTGAACAAAACGTGCATGAGCGGTAACATTACTGAGACAAACAGCACCTGACCAATCTGCCCAAAGGGACTGTCACAAATCCTAACAAGCAATGATGTTTCTGGTACCTTGTACAGCTGTCCTAATAAACCATTTACAGAGAGGCCCCCAAAATGGTTCCAGCATATTTTTACCTTTGATATGTACAGCAACAGTGGCGGTTGTGCAGAGATTTGGGACACTGCTGTCAAATCAGTGAATTAATAAGAAGAGCAGCTCTCTCCTCCACTGTCATTGTTACGAATGGTCTCACTGACAGCCATCTGTCAGGTTTTGATATTGATACTAGAAAATGAGCCTTGGAATTACATAATAGTGGTAGCTCTTTAGAAGTGATCCATTGCCCACACAGTGTGCCAAGCCGGGGGGGGGGGGGAGGAAATGTGGTGAAGTGCTCAGACTGTGAGTGTTCTACAGTTGGACTGGCAAGTGCAAAGCTGCTTATATGATAATCAGCCCATTAGATAGTGAGCAGCTTGAAAACATGGGCAAGAGGGGATGTCACGCTTTGTCCCCTCTGTCACCATTCTTTCCTTCCCCCCCCCCCCCC